ATCTTTTTGATGTGTTGCTGGAGTCTGTTGGCTAGTATTCTGTTGAGAATTTTTGCATCTATGTTCATGAGGGATATTGGTCTATAGTTTTCTTTCTTAGTGAGGTTTTTTCTTTGTTTTTAAAAAAGTTAAAGTGGACAGAGAGAAATTAATGGATGTTAATGGATAGTACCTGGAAGGGATTATAATCATTATAATGAAACAAGGTGTATGATATGTTGAATGTAAAACTGATGATCTGCCCTGTAAACTTTCACTCAATGCACAATAAAAACCTTAAAAAAAACAAAAAACAAAAATGCACAAAAACCTATACATAGACCAAGAGGCAGTTGTTCAAATAGAACAAGGGGATAGTGAGTGGTTTAAAATCAGAAGAGGTTTACACCAGATTGTATCCTTTCACCATACTTATTCAATCTGTATGCTGAGCAAATAATCCAAGAAACTGGATTATATGAAGAATGTGGCATCAGGAGTGAAGGAATGCTCATTAACAACTTGTGAAATGCAATGATACCTTACTTGCTGGAAGTGAAAAGGACAAAATACTTACTAATCAAGATCAAAGGTCACAGCCTGCAGTATGTTTTCAATATAAAGAAAACAAAAATCCTCAATACTGGAGCAATAAATAACATCATGAAAAAATGGAGAAAAAACTGAAGTCAAATACAGCAGTCAAGAAATCAAAACAATGTAGTGCCTTAGGCATATCTGCTGTGTAAAGCTCTTGAAAGTGTTCAAGAGCAAAGATACCAGATGGAGGACTTAAGTGTGCCTTAGCCAAGTCATGTTATTTTCGATAGCCTCATAAGCATGTGAAAGTTGAATAATGACAACCACCACCAACGGTATGTACCATAAAAGTCTGCAAGGATATTCTCCAAGTACCGTATTCTAGGGAATGGCCTGGTAATTGTGGGGCTTTCATTTTCTATTCTTTTTTAAAAGATTTATACTAATTAGGTTTTATTTTTCTTTGAAATTAAGTAAGTAGGTATTACTTTTACAATAGCAAAAAATGAAAAATAAAAGATTAAATATGAGCTAGCAAAAAAGTATAGATTTCTTCCCACCCCCGTTGTGTATATTTTGAGCTTTGGTGTAACTCAATTATCAGTTTCACTATGCAAGCAATTTCTAGAACATCCATAGAAAACATGTATACATTCATATTTCCCATGAGGCAATAACTCCTTGGTCTATACCTACTTCATTAATTACTATATCTTCAATGCTAGTATGTCTAGAATAATAACAGCATTTGACATACAACTGACAGATGAGTAAAGAATATATACTTTCCTCTTTTCAGGTGTTAGATATAGTGACATATCTTCATGTTAATTACACTTCAAGAGCAAATACGCGGTAAAGTCAGGAAGTAGAAAGATCTTGTGCAGGGAATCTCACAGCTTGACAAAGGTGGCCTTGATTTTGAATTCTTGAAAATAACAGGTGATGGAAATAGTGAGTCACCTGATACACAATGTAATAGGTACATTGTGTAATAGGATATCAATGACTTTCCAGTTTATTTTTTGATAAGCAAAAATATTTTCAAGGAGGAGAATGCCCAGCGAACGCAGGAATGTTAGAAAAACAAACAGTAAAGAGCATACACAAAGCAATAGGTAACTGAAATTTTAATACATTTAGGTATTTACAGAATTTTTTTTTTTAAATCAGCATTCAACATTGGTTTTCAGATTAATATTTACAACTTTAGTAAAATAACATTTTATAAAGTTAACTTTCCTTAACATTTCATATTGCTATTAATATACCTTTTTAAAGTCTACAAAAATGCTCATGTTTCAACTTTTTATTTTTTTTTAAAGTAGTGGCACTTCTAAATGAAATGATAACAACAAACCCAAAACCCATTACGACTGAGTTGATGCCAAGTCATAGCGACCCTGTACTAGGTTTGTTGTTGTTAAGTGCCGTTAAGTCAGATCCAACTCATAGAGACCCTGTACAGGGTTTCCAAGGAGCAGCTGGTGAGCTTGAACTGCCGACCTTGCGGCTCAAACCTACTTTGCAGAACAACGCATTAATCCACAGCACCACACCAGGGCTTATGAGGCTGTAAATCTTTACAGAAGCAGAAAGCCTCATCTTTCTCTTGAGGATTGGCTGGTAACTTTGAACTGCTGACCTTGTGGTTAGCAGTCCTGTGCTTATCCTACAGAGCCACCAAGGCTCTTTAAAGTTAACACAGGGCCCCAGATATATAAAACAGAAAGTAAAGCTTTTGTAGGTACCCTTTCGTATTATATCTCTTAGGGTACTAAGCACAGTCTTAGGACCACAGTGGACCATGGAACTAAAATATTAATAAACACTAAATAGGTTTCATTGACAAAGGAAAACTAGAAAGTTGCTCACTTAGTAACCAACACTTTCTAATAAGGCTCTGCTTTTCTGTTAACTGTGTCGTCCTGGGTTTCATCACGTTAGAAAACTCTTTGTACATTCACTGTTTGTTGCTGTAAGATGCCATTAAATCGATTCTAACTCATATTGACACTATGCACAATAGAATGAAACAATGCCTGGTCCTGTGCCATCCTCACACTCACTGATATGTTGAGCCCATCCATCGTTGCAGCCACTTTGTCAATTTGTCTCATAGCTCTTCCTCTTTATTGCTGATGCTGTACATTACCAAGCATGTCGTTCTTCAGGTACTGGTCCCACCCAACAACATGCCTCAAGTATGTAAGACAAAGTAGTTTCACCATCCTTGCTTCTAAGGAACTTTCTGGCTGTAATTCTTCAAGACAGATTTGTTTGTTCTCCTGGTTGTCCATGGTATATCTAATATTCTTTGCAAACACTGTAATTCAAAGGCATCGATTCTTCTCTAGTTTTCTTTATTCATTGTCCAGCTTTCGCTTGCATCTGAAGCAACTAAAATTACCATGGCTTGGGTGAGGTGCAACTAAGTCCTCAATGGCTACACAGTGTTCTTTTTTTTCAGGCAGAAACTGGCATTGTAAACTTGGAAAATAATCTACAAATACCTGCTGTTGAATAGGAACCAAAATGATAGTTACCATTTTGTTAGGGAATCTGTTTGTCATGAATAAAGCCCCAAAGCCAAGATGATTCTTGGGAAGATGAAACATCCCAAAAATCAAAGGGAGATTCCAAGTAAATGTAACATCATGGAGTCTTAGGGCAGATGTCCAAAGAGAAAGAAAAGGGCGAGTATATTCACACATCCTTTTACAGATGTTTGCAGCTTAGGCTGGGCTGTGGGAACATAATGATGTGTGCACAGTGAAATGATTAAAGACAGGGAAGCTGTATGGGACCCCAATGGTACAGAAACACAGGGACGTGTCTGCCAAAGGCTCTATGTGTTAAGAGTTAACAGCACAGAAAACACTGTCACAAGACACACATGCCCTTTGTGGTTGTTGTTGTTGTTAAGTGCCGTTGAATCGGTTCCGACCCATAGCAACCCTGTACAGAGTTTCCAAGGAGCAGCTGGTGAGCTTGAACTGCAGACCTTGCAGTTCAACCGGCTTTGCAGTCTGGTGCATTAACCCACAGGGCCACACCAGGACGCCCCCTTTGTCTTTAGCTGGCTGAATTTGCACATTAAAGACCTTTTCTTGAGATTCATTATTGCAGTTGGGAGGGCAGTGGCTCCACAGGACAAGCACTGGATTGCAAATCACAATTGGTTCAAGCCCAGCAGTTGTTTCATGGGAGAAAAGTGAGGCTTTTGCTCCTGTAAAGAATTATAAGCCTTGGAATTCCTATATAGAGTTGGAACCAACTCAACAGCACTTGACAACAACATTGCAGTTGGCTCACTTCAGGAAAACGTCTAAAAATTTCACAAACACCAAGGAGACCTACTGGTACAATGGTTAAACACTAGCACAGTTACTAACTGAAAAATCAGCAATTAGAACCCACGAGAGGCTCCGTGGGAGGAAAGACCTAACAATCTGCTTCTATAAAGATTAAAGCCTAGGAAACCCTCTGTGACAGTTCTTCTCCGTCCTATAAAGACACTGCCAGCCAGACTGAGTTCATGGCACACAAGAAGAAGAAGAACAACAAATGTTTATCTATATGCTACACTCTGCAAATATTGTCCTATTTCAGCCTCACTTGAGGTAGGTACTACTATTAGCCCCATTTCAGAGATAAGGAAAAAGGCACAAAAAGATAAAGCTACTTACTGAAGCTCACAAAGCTTGTAAATGGTGATCTTGGGTTCAATAGCCTTTCATTGAAAAAAAAATGACACCTTTGGCTGGGAAGGGAATTTGTCCTAGAAAAATCCTAGGGATCTGCCTGAGTTAAAAAGGAAGAAGCAGCACCAGAATTGACAGTACATTTGCTGATCACATGTCAAGGATCTGAGTTCTAACTCATTTAAAATGATAACACATTCTAACAAGACATAGACAAATATAAAATCATATAGAAATGAACATAGGAACTCTTCCACTGTTAGTAAAGGCTTCAGTATATTGGAATTTGTTTTGAAATGTCTGAAAGAAATCAAACTGTTTCACATTGCATGTTACAGAAGCAGTTGCTGACTCAGGAAGGAATTGCATCTATATGTAGGGACTAGAGTAAAAAGGCAGTAAATAAATATGGACTTTACTATTTAAAAAAGAGGTGGTTTTGAATAAGGTTTAAGAATAACCTTGTACATCCCAATTCATTACTTTATCATATTCTTGAATTCTTTGCTTTATATGAGAAAGTTTTTTCTTTAGGTAATCACAGCGTTCTTTTTTTTCCAGAAATGTAGGATTCTGTAAAAGAAACACAGCCATTATTTCAGTCTCTGATTGCCTCTGGGAAGAACAAACATGCATTATCACCCAAAAGACAACCCTTCCTAGCAGATTTACTTGCAGCAGATTAAAAAAAACCTGTCTATTAACAGTTTAACTCTCTGACTTTTTTAGATTCCTTGCTATGAACCACAAAGTTGGCAGTTCGAGCTCACCAGACACTCCACAGGAGAAAGATGAGGCTTTCTGCTTGCGAGAAGATTTAAACCCTATATGGGGAGGCTATGAGTCCAAACTGACTCCACGGCACTTGAACAACAGCAGGAGTTTGAAACTGTTAGTAAATAGAGACAAGATTACTAAGAGCTCTCTTTAGTCTCTTCTGATTTGTGAGACCAAATTAAGGATGGTGTTAGAAAGATGCAGAATTCCAATGTTTCTGAAGGAAGTGTTTCAGTGCTCATTTCTCTAGGTTGCCAAAACAAGACCTGACCAGGACAGAAATGAAGAGTACAGGTATCCAGCATTCATTCACTCATTTCCCACAACAAGCCACATCTTAAGAAATACAAAGTAAAGAAATATGATAAAGAATTTAAGTTGCTAACTTATCACCAGAGCACTTGAATCAGAACACACTTTGAAGAAGAAAGGTGTTTTATACTCACATTCTTTTTTTTCTTAAACTCTTCATGGATTCTTGAAATTCTCTCATGTTCCTAAAAATAATATATAGTATAACTGAATTAAAACACTTGAATTTACTCAAATCATATTTCAGGGATATCTAAAAGTAAACTGGGAATTAGAACAAAAATAATTTTTACACAATGCCATAATGAAAATATTCATACACCAAAGATTCGGTTCAATTGACAAATGGTTGAGGCCTGACACTAAGATCCAGGGGTAAACAAGAGAGAAAGGTCCCTTCTGGCATGAAAACAGACTCAGGTCCCAGCATTGACCCCTGCCAGCTATGTGAAGCTATGCGAACAAGTTATTTATTGATCTTCCCTACACCTCAGTTTCCACTCACAAAAGGGGAATAATACAGTTTTGAGAAGGTTTATTTACAAGGAATGATCCTTGTAAAACTATTTTGTATTTGTTATGTGCCGTGGAGTCGGTTCTGACTCATAGCGACCTGTACAGGGTTTCCGAGGCTGTAAATCTTTATGGGAGCAGAAAGCCTCATCTTTCTCCCGCGGAACAGCTGATAGTTTCGAACTGCTGACCTTGTGGTTCGCAGCCCAATTAGTAACCACTACATTACCAGAGCTCCTTCCTTATAAAATAGATGGCATATAATCAAAATATTGTTGTTGTTATGTGCTGTAGAGTCGGTTCCCACTCATAGCGACCCTGTACAGGGTTTCCAAGGCTGTAAATCTTTATGGGAGGCTCTCTGCTCCTCCCTGTTCGACCGGCAGCTGCAGCTTCTCTTGCAGTACCAGCCGCATCCCTGAGACAGGATGGTGAAGGTTGGAGTCAACAGATTTGGCCGTATTGGGTGCCTGGTCACCAGGGCTGTTGTTAGCTCTGGCAAAGTGGAGGTTGTTGCCATCAATGACCCCTTCATTGACCTCAACTACATGGTCTACATGTTCCAGTATGATTCCATCCATGACAAGTTCAGTGGCACTGTCAAGGCTGAGAAAGGGAAGCTTATCATCAATGGGAAGCCCATCTCTATCTTCTAGGAGTGAGATCCCACCAACATCAAGTGGGGTGATACTGCTGCTGAATATGTTGTAGAGTCCACCGGTGTCTTCACAACCTTGGAGAAGGCTGGGGCTCACCTGAAGGGTGATGCCAAAGGGGTAATCATCTCTGCCCCTTCTGCTGATGCCCCCATGTTTGTGATGGGTGTGAACCATGAGAAGTATGACAATTCCCTCAAGATGCCTCCTGCACCACCCCTGGCCAAGGTCATCCATGACAATTTTGGCATCATGAAGGGACTTATGACCACAGTCCATGCCATCACTGCCACCCAGAAGACTGTGGATGGCCTCTCTGGGAAACTGGCGTGATGGCCATGGGGCTGCCCAGAGTATCATCCCTGCATCTACCAGTGCTCCTAAGGCTGTGGGCAAGGTCATCCCTGAACTGAATGGGAAACTCACTGGCATGGCCTTCCGTGCCCCCACTCCTAATGTGTCTGTTGCGGACCTGACCTGCCGCCTGGAGAAAGCTGCCAAATATGATGCCATCAAGAAGGTGGTGAAGCAGGCATCAGATGAACCCCTAAAAGGCATCCTGTGTTACACTGAAGACCAGGTCATCTCCTGTGACTTTAACAGTGACACCCACTCTTCCACCTTTGATGCTGGGGCTGGCATTGCCCTCAACGACCACTTTGTCAAGCTCATTTCCTGGTATGACAATGAATTCGGCTATAGCAACAGGGTGGTGGATCTTACGGTCCACATGGCCTCCAAAGAATAAGAGCCCTGTGAACCACCAGCCCCAGCAACAGTATTAGAGGAAGAGAGAGGCCCTCAGCTGCTGGGAGTCCTCACCCCAACTCTACCCCACTACACATTGAGAAGCTCCCATCCTCAGTTTCCATCCAGCTCATCCTTCAACATTTCTTGCGTGCTGCTGTTATTGTCGTGTGCCACTGAGTTGGTTCTGACTCTCAGTAACCCTGTATAGGGTTTCTGAGAGCAGCTGGTGGGCTTGAACTTGCAGTTAGCAGTCCAGTGCTTGTCCTATAGTGGAGAAGGGGAGGGGCTTAGAGAGCCCAGTCTTGTCATGTACCCTCAATAAAGTACAGTATCCAGCCAAAAATAAAAAATCTTTATGGGAGCAGAAAGCCTCGTCTTTCTCCCATGGAATAGCTCGTAGTTTTGAACTGTTGACCTTGAGGTTCACAACCCGATTCAATCACAATATTAGCTATCATTAAAGACCATTTCATCTCTTCTGAAAAATTCTTTTTCAAATTATTAGGTGCTAGAATTAAGAGGTTGTGATTATTAAAAAAAAAAAAGTTAATATAAAACTCCTTTTAATTTTAGTAA